ACTGACAGCTTAGGCCCACTCCCCATCTGGAACGGGCCTAAGCTGTCAGTAGGACATCTTCCGAGGGCTCCGGGACTGAGAGAGGGCTGAGGCCGGGCTGAGGGACCCCCAAGTACACATTTTTTGTGCACCAGGCCTCTAGTTGGATAATAAGATTATATAGGCTCCAACTGTATATTTCTGATACATGATCTTCACATTGTACTGTATCCCACCACCCAAAGTCAAATCATTCTCCATAATCATATATTTGATCCCATTTATCCTTTTTTGCCTTCCTAATCTCCTTCCCTCTGGTAACCACCATATTATTGCATAGGTCTATGAGTTTTTGTTTGTTCATTTGTTGATTTCAATTTTATATCCCACATATGAGTGAAATCATATGGTTCTTAGCTTTTTCTGACTTATTTCACTTAGTATGATATTCTCAAGGTCCATCCATGTGGTCACAAGTAGGAGTATTTCATCTTCTCTTATGGCTGAGTCATATTCTGTCGTATATATCTACCACATCTTCTTTATCCAATCCTCTATTGAAGGACACTTCTGTTTTTCTATGTCTTGGCCACCGTGAATAATGCTGCAATGATAATAGAGGTTTTTGTGTCTTTGAGGATAAATGTTTTCAAAGTTTTCATGTAGATACCCAGAAGAGGGTCTGCTGGGTCAGATGGTAACTATACTTAATTTTTTTGAGGAACTTCCAAACTGTCTTCCAGAGTGGCTATAAAAAATGACTTGGCCAAAGAAGAAATAAAAGTTGAGATCAAAATATATAGAGAGACAAATGAGAATGACAATACAACATATCAAAACTTTTGGGATGCAGCAGAAGTAGTATATGAGTAAAGTTTTGTATCATTTCAGGCCTATCTCAAGAAACAAGAAAAGGAGAGAAACTAAGATGGCGGCATAGATAAACACCGAGAAATTGCTGCTTCCCACAACAATCGATAAATGCATCAAAAACACAAGGTGGACATCATCCAGAACTACAGGAGGGCTGGCTGAGTGTAAATTCTACAACTAGAAGGAAAGAAAAGCACACTGCGAGCGGGAGGAGCTGCGGAGGTGGAGTGCGTGGAAAGGGTCTGGCACCTGAGGACGCGGCTGTCTTTTTGAATCCGGAGGGAGACACAAGCTCCCGACGGCTCTGAAATCTGGTTCCGGGAAGTCTCTGGGGACCCAGGACTCATACGGGGAGATACTGGACTGTCTGGCAGCGGGCGAGCTTGAGAGCGGCTTTTCCTCAGAGGTGCTTGCAGCCATTGCCGGGACACTGGGACTCGCGACTCCTTAGGGCAGGGCTGAGGCTCCGCCATAGCTGCTTTCTCCGCCCTTTGATTTCTTGAGACCCCGCCCCGCCCAGGCTGCGGCAGAGGCTTTTGCATATGAATGCCCCGGCCATTTGCAACCTGTAATTACCTAACCGCAGCCGGGCCAGATAGACCCAGAGCTTCCAAGAGAAGGCCCAAGGCCCCACAGCGGCTTGCATTGCTACACAGCTGAGCATCATCAGGGCACTTCCAAACTCCAAGAAAAAGGAAGGGGAATCTGCAGTTCTCTACATAGTTCCTGCTGTGTAACCTCAGGCAGAGGCTAAATTAGCACCTCCTTAGATCCAAGAGCCACTGTACTCAGTGGTCAGAGGGGAACCATCCAGATCACAACTCCTCAGATCCATAAGGGACACACTCAGGGTGCAGTCTCAGTGAGCACCAAAGCCCCACGGAAGCAAGTCTTGCCCCAGAAGGGTGTCTCCAGCACAGAAGTTCTCCCACTGCAGACACAGCTGATTCTCGCTGCCAATTGCCCTGGAGGTCAATTCCTCCCAGTGATCCTACAACATGCAAGGCATAGCTACAACAAGACTGTGCACAAAGCCCACGAGGGGGTGCACCAAGAGTGTCCACCTCAGGTAACTGGGGAGGCTGAGCCACTGGGCCCTACAGGACACCTAGCACACAAAGCCACTCTATCAACACAGGGAAGCAGCCAAAATGCGGAGACAAAGAAACAGGTCACAAATGGCAGAAATGGAGGAAAGCAAACGACTGGATATAGAGTTCAAGGCCACGTTTATAAGGTTTTTCAAGAATTTTATGGAAACCGCCGATAAATTTAATGAGTCCCTCAATAAGTATAGTGAGACCATGGAGGACATGAAAAAGGACCAACTAGAAATTAAGCATACACTGACTGAAATAAAGAATAATCTACGGAGATCCAACAGCAGACAAGAGGATCCCAAAAATCAAGTCAAAGATTTGAAATACAAAGAAACAAAAAATACCCAACTGAAAAAGAAAAAAGAAAAGAGATTCCAAAAATATGGAGATAGTGTAAGGAGCCTCTGGAACAACTTCAAGCGTACCAACATCAGAATTATAGGGATACCAGAAGAAGAGAGAGGGCAAGATATTGAAAACCTATTTGAAGAAATAATGACAGAAAACTTCCCCCACCTGGTGAAAGAAATAGACTTCCAAGTCCAGGAAGCGCAGAGAACCCCAAACAAAAGGAATCCAAAGAGGACCACACCAAGACACATCATAATTAAAATGCCAAGAGCAAAAGACAAAGAGAGAATCTTAAAAGCAGCAAGAGAAAGACAGTCAGTTACCTACAAGGGAGTACCCATACGACTGTCAGCTGATTTCTCAACAGAAACCATGCAGGCCAGAAGGGAGTGGCAAGAAATATTCAAAGTGATGAATAGCATGAACCTGCAACCAAGATTACTTTATCCAGCAAAGCTATTATTCAGAATAGAAGGTCAGAGAAAGAGCTTCACGTATAAGAAAAAGCTAAAGGAGTTCATCACCACCAAACCAGCATTATATGAAATGCTGAAAGGTATTCTTTAAGAAGAGGAAGAAGAAAAAGGAACTCTTACCATTTGCCACAGCATGGATGGAACTGGAGAGCGGATAAATACCACATGATCTCACTCATTTGTGGAATATAATGAACAACATAAACTGATGAACAAGGACTGATCCAGAGACGGAGAGGCATTGATTGGACTGTCGGGCTTTGGAGGGAGGGTAGGGGAGTGTGGGGGTAAGGGGGAAAGATCAACCAAAGGACTTACATGCAGGCATATAGGCCTAACCAATGGACACGGACAACGGGGGGGGGGGGGAGGGCACGAGCGGGGGGGGGGGGGGGTAGAGGGTAACGTGGGGATAAGGACACATAAGTAATATCTTAATCAATAAAAATATATAAAAAAAAAGAAACAAGAAAAATCTCATGAACAATCTAACATTACATCTTAAAGAACTAGAAAAAGAAAAAAAAAAAAGCAGCCCAAAGTCAGCATAAGAAAGGAAATAAAAATTAGAGCAGAATTGAATGATATAGAGAACAAAAGACTACTATACAAAAATTAATACAACAAAGAGCAGGTTATTTGAAGAGATTAGTAAAATTGACAAACCCTGGCTAGAACCACTACGGAAAAAAGAGAAAAAACTCATATTAACAAAATCATAAATGAAAGAGAAGTTATACCACAGACATCACAGAAATACATAGGATCATAATAGGATACTATGAGAGACTATATGCCACAATATTCAATAACTTAGAAGAAATGGATAAGTGACTAGAAATATATAACATTTCTAGACTGAATCATGAAGAATTGGAAAACTTAAATGAACTTATCAATAGTGAGGAAATTGAAACAATCATCAAAAACCTCCCCAAAAGAAAAAGTCTAAGACCAGATGGATTCACTAGCAAATTCTATCAACCACTCAAAAAAAAAATTGATGCCTATCCTTATCAAACCCTTCCAAAATATTAAAGAAGAGGCAACAAATCTTCCTAACACATTTTTTGAGGTCAACAGAACCCTGATACCAAAACCTGGCAAGGGTAAGACACAAAAGAGGGAAGAAAACAGACAAATATCTCTAATAAATACAGATGTAAAAATCCTAAGGTGAACACTTTTAAAAAAGATAAAAAAATCAAATCATATACAAGCTAATCAATTAATTCAATGACATTACAATTAAGTTATAGTGCTCAAAACTCATCATAAAAGGTTACATGTCAAGCCACAATCACTAGAAGATATTTTCAGTACATAAAACTAACAAAAGAATTAATAATTAGAATATACATATAAATCTTTTTTAAAATTAACAAAGGAGAACATTAATGGGCAGATGACATAAATAGGCATTTCTAGCGAGGAAAAATAAATATCTTGAAATCTATGGAAAAATACTCAATCTTATAAGTTATAATGAAAATATAGACAAAATTCAGAAGGATATATAATTTTACACATAGAAGATAAGCTCTAATGGAATAATCTGACAATGCATATAGGAATACTTATTTACTTTTGCTGATTGTGAATATTCCATTTTCAAAATTAAATGAAATAAAAGATCATGATATAGTAAATTTGAAATGTCTACCTAATGGTTCAACTTATCTGTTTCTAGGTATAAAGCCTAGAGTAACACTAGTACTTAAGTATTTGGAGAAATGTTTAGAAACTTGACTAGCATTATTATTTCTAAGAAAGAAGAGGTAAATAACCCCCAAACCCATGTCTAGGAGTATAATAAATAAATGTTGGTATGTATCTAAATGGGGTATTCTACAATAGCTAAAAATAAACAACACATAAAAATACATTTAATAGATAATGTAGAAAAGTCAAGTTCAACAAAATAAATTCATTCAGAAGACTATACATAATATTATTTCAGTTATATTAATATGAAAACTAAAGAGAATTTTGTTCAGGCATCCATACAGTTAATTCTGTATATTGAGAACAACAGTGGTAAACATAAATTCAGGCTATTCAATACAATTGGATTGGAGGATGGAGGAGTACTTGGGAACAAACACAGGGCATCAGTAATGTTCTACTTCTTAAGTTGAATGATGGGTATATGTATGTTCACATTGTTATTTGTTAAATTACACACATATAATGATTGATTCAGTAAAATGTAGCACCTAACCCGTTTGTCAAATCCACGTAGGTTCAATTATTTTGGCAAGGTTTAGAGGAACACTCGGTTTCAATTTCACACAGAAGCCCAAAAAACACAGGTCTGCAAACACACTTTTTAAACAAGAAATTTAAGAATTGCATAGATATAAATGTATAAAGTCAAAGCTTCAAATAAATATAACATGGAAAATTGTTAATAATAAAAATGTTCAATTTGTCAGTTGAAAATATAAACTTGCATACATTTAGATACATGTACCTACATATTTTTTTCCTTTTTGGTTTTTCCTACCTGAAATTGTTGACCCCATCTTCACAGTCATGATACTTCTTACAGGGAAGGGAGAAACACTCATTCATGTTAATTTAACAGTGTTCCCCTTCAAATCCTGCTAAGAGAGATGTGAAGAATATGGATGAGCAATTTTCAGAGTGTGGATAACAGATCAGTGATAAACAGTCTGGAGAATTTGCTTATAATGGAACTTAAGAGAAAAAAAAAAGAAAGAGAAAACACCTCATCTCTGGTTTCTAATACAACTCTACTTCATATAATGTATAAATAAAATTATGCTAGTTTTTTCTAATTAATGCATTCAAATGAAAGCATCAAGGTAGGAATACTTTACTAAATCTCCTGGGAAAATAGGGTTGTAGCTAATGTTGCTGTTGTTTGAAGGTATTTTAGTGTTTCAATTTAAACAAAAAGAATTCAAACCATCCGAAAAGCAAATGAAATGAATCATTATTGTGATGGCCAATCTTAAAGTAAAATTGAGCGTCAATGATCAAATTTATTCAAAGCAGTTAGCAGATGAGGCAGAGTATTTAATTGCTTTTCATATCCAAGTGACTCAAAGAAAACAAATTATTTTCATTCACAGCTACATAATAAGTCATCCATTTAAACACATGCCAGTTACATTTTAAAATAACAAAGAACATTAAAAAAATATATTCAGACTGAAAAGAGAGGCAGCTGTAATTAGTTCAAAACTGTGTCAGAAACATCAGCATAATTTCACTTATTAATATACATTAACATTTTAATATATTTATGATAACCATTTATACAATTATTTCCATGATTATATATTAGCTAGGGATAACAAAATATATACTTATACTCATTTTGTCTTGGTAACATTTTTCATCCTAGTTAGAAAATATAAGAAACAAGATTTTCCTCTCTTTTACATTTTTAGTGATAAAACTAAGCACCAAGTAATTGCAGTGCCATTTGTATTACTACTAAGAACTACTACTCAGATTTGTATTACTCTAAGAACACTGTGTTTACTATTGGCATACACATAGACTGGTATTGGAACTGAGCAATGTCTGAAAGAGGGGGTGGTCCAACTACCCATGAATGGCCTTCTTCCTCCCCTAGTACCTTCTCATATAGTTTCTCCTCCTCTTTCCATCCACAAACATCAGAGTTTCAAATTATATATACTATTGGCATGCAGATGATATAACACAGCTTCCCTGGTCTCTATCTCTGCATCACAACTGTTTAGCTTTCAGAACCTACTGCTCAGTGGAAAATCCTCTCCATATTTCCTCACTCAGATTTTCATGAGAGAACATGGGATTGGCCTGCTTTATCTGTTCAAATCACACCATGCCACAAGCCATTGTCCTGCTCCGTAGTAGGTACCATCAAGTCAAGTGCTAAAACCTCTTCTAGCTTCATTTTGGAAAGCTGGTAATAAACCTTCTAAAATAGGGCTGCTCTTTAGCAGAAAATAATATGTAAACCTAAAATTATTTAATCCAAAAAAAGACAAGAGTAAAAATAATAAAAACAGGTACAAGAAATAGAAAACAAATAGTAAGATGGTATATTTAAAGCCATATATATTAGTAATTAGATTAAATATGACATTTAAAAAAACATTTCAACTTAAGGTAGAAATAGACTAAATAACTGAACCATAATATCTAAAAGAAATTCTATTTAAATAAAAGGACAAGTATAGGTTAAAAGTAGGAATATAAAATGAAGATGCACCATGAAATATTAATCATAACCCTGCAGAGCCTATCTGATGGGTAGACCAGATAGTCTTCAGAACAAGCATCATTATAAATTTGTCCTACTTTTTTATTACTCAATTATAAAAAACTTCAAGTTAAACTTTGAAGTTGCATGCTTATAATTTCACTCATGCACTAGAGTTATATCCTCAGCATTAAAAATAAAATTAAAGTGAGTTATTTCCAAGTTAATATGATTCTTCTAATTTTAGGTGAGCAAGTTATTATTCAACACACTTCATTCATCAATCACTATTGCTGTTATACATAAATTACAGATGTCATAGAACAGTTATAAATAACATAATAAGCTTGTGCTTTAAGTATTTGATTCAAGTTACTTTTTTTCTTAAGTTAAAGATTTAGAGAGCTGCATGCATCCCACCATTTCTACTTTGAGTATGACTAGCTGTGTCTGGGGAGCAGGTCATATTGACACTGGGATGCTTCCTGGAAATGTCCGTTTGGGCACTGCGGCTCAGGGGCATTAGCTAGTTAGAGAAGTGCTAGTTCAGCAGGGCTGATGAATCAGAACAATCAGGACCTGGGAATTCAGACAGCTCAAGGATAAATTTATTTTCTGTGATTATACCTTAGTCATTTAGTTTGACATTTCTGAGATGAAGTTTTGTTACCAACTGGCAACACATGTCAATGGGCTGAGGAAATGAGATTGCTGAAATGCAGTAGGCATTGAGAAAGAAAATAAAGTCGGCATGGATTGCATTTAAAATAAGACAAAGCTTTGCAGAGAAAGCTTATACTTGAGGGACTTAACGGAGGGGAGTGTATACTTAGCCTCTAACTAAAGTTTCCATAGTCCTTTGTGTTAGCAGCTGATATTTATTCGTGTAAAAGGTACTTATTTGCATACATTCAGTGAGAGCTAAAAGTCTGTCAAAATTAAAAGTACAGTGGATATTAATTCTCTGCTGTTCTCCTGTTATTTATCACTACCCAGAACTATTCAGCTGACCCTGTTTTATTAACTATAGTGGAATTATTTACACAGAAATAATGAGTTGTACTCAAATTGATGTCCTCTTGATCCTTTTCTTAGTGTCTTGCCTGGGTACTATAAGAGTAAATGTATGTGACTGGTTAATAAAGGATATTTTTACACTTATTCACTTCCACTAAACATGTAAAATAAGATACTAAACCTACTGCTCATACTTAGGACCTGAATCAATCACTTAATATTGTATCATTCCTAACCAATGAAGCCTATTTATACTTGTTTCTCTGGAAGAGATGTCATAGAACAAAGTACATTACCAATAGTTAGGTTTTCATAACCATTTTAGGAAATATTTTATCATTCAGGGCTCTCTACCTTGACAACTATCACATTAGAAGTAATATCCATTGAGATAATTAGAAGTGAAAGTACATAGGGAAAACCTAGAGTATATCTTTCATTTATTCAAACAAGATAGTGTCAAAATTATACTATTATTATTAAAAGTGAATTATTTTCAAAAGCATTAAGATAGAATACTTTTATTTCTTCTTAATTTCCCTATATTTAAAAACTTTATGAAAAACAAAAAAAGAGATTTTTCTCTTCATAAGTGAGAAAATTTTGTAATTTTTCCTTTATATTTTAAAACAACCCTATATAATAAAAGTGTAGTATGCAAATTGTCCCCTTGACCAGGAGTTCATCTGGGAGTTGGGCCAGAGGGTGGGGTCGGCTGGGGGAAGGGAGGGAGGCCCTGGGAACCCTACCAGTGTTTGAACTTCGTGCACTGGGCCTCTGGTATAATACAAATGTTAATATATTCTTTAAAATTAGCTAGTATTACAAACATATTTGTAGATTTAATTTTGAAAACTACTAAAGACAGAACTAATATTTTCAATAGGCCCTAACATTGCTTAATACTGATTTTAAGTAAACTTTTAGAAAATAAGTATAAAAGCTAATATTTTTGTTAGCTTTTAGTAATGTATATTTGACATTTTAGAGTTAATTGGCAACAATACATATTTTCTTTGAAGAATGTTTCACTATAAATTTCCAAAGCTATTTAAACCTACTAGACATGCTACTACATGAGCACATGTTTTTAACTGTAAAAGCTGTAATTTTAAATTTAGACAAACTATTTTGTCAAGTGACATTTATTTGGTGCTGAAATTATACACCTTAGGTAATGTACCATTACCATAATAGAAGTATATATACTAGAGTAATAGATACATTTAAATGCAACTGCTTGCCTCCTTTGGTAGTACACATCCATCAAGCTTAGAATCACAAGTGTAAATCAATATCACATGTAAATGATCTGATTTTTCCTTCCACTGCATTTTACAAGGAGTATTTTACACATTGTAATCCTTTGTAAAGTGTCATCTATAGAAACTTTGCTCCTTTTGCCTTGGGGACATAAAGATGAAGTGGCTACATTTGGAAATTAATCCCTTTAAATTAAATTAAAAGTATTTGATAGGGTGATGTCCCTGCCTATAAACTGAGATATTACTCTAAGTCGAAAGAGAAAGAATATTTTCTAAAGAGAATATTAAAAAACAAATATATTTTAACATTAAAATTATTTTACATCTTTTACTATATTCACACAGATGATAGATAAACCAGAAAATGTACTGTATTCAATACATATTTACAGTCATTCACGTGCAGTCCGTCTAGAGCTATCTTTACCTCTGTAACCCTCAAGTTGTTTTTATATTCCATTTCTATCATCCTTATGTTGTATTCAGTTTAGTCAACCTCTCCTACTTAATTAGCTCTTTCCCCACCCTATGTGCATTAGAATTAACTTTTTCATCACATGCAATATAAACAAAAACACTTAGACAATGAATGGGATTTATGGGTAGTCTAGCTGGGAAAGATAACAGGCAGTTTGTAGAATTAAAGAAAGAACTATAGGAACTGCCAGCACAAGTTCTTTCAAAAGCGTTTCTCTCCTACTACATACAGAGCTCCATGTGAAGGGAATATGGTATGGTGTTGGCTGCATCAACTTAAAAACTGACAAAAAGAGAAAGCTTCTCTTAGCATCAATTCTAAGGAAGAGCTCTTAATGGCAATATTCCAGTCACATGGCCAGATCTGGATCAATCATAGTCTTAACCTGAGTTCTTCCAAAAGAAAAATCTTAGATAATGATTTGCAAACAACTAGCTTATTTGAGTAGTGATCCCAGCACTTATTGCAAGGGAATAGGAAAATAAAATAGGGAAGAGAGTGGTTTAATGAGCAGGTTGTTGCTGTAGGCAACTAAGGATCCAGAATTCTAGAGATCCTCTTAGAAATCATGTGAGACATAACTCAGAGTTGTCACACTAAACAAGAAAGCTGGGGTATGCATCCACAAATACTCTCTCATGCATATTTCCATCTTAAATGGGAAAGCCTCACAACATTGTACTTTTTAAAAATCTTTATTGTTGAAAATATTACATATGCCTCCCTTTTTCTCCCATTGATGTCTCCCAGCCCGCCCCAGCCCCCCACCCCAGGCCTTCAACATCCTATTGTCTACGTGTTCATGGATTATGCACATATGCATACAAGTTCATTGGTTGATTTCTTACCACTCATCCTCCCTACCCTGCCTTCCCTCTGAGGTTTGACAGTCTGTTCAATGCTTCTATGTCTCTGGATCTATTTTTGTTCATCAGTTTATGTTGTTCGTTAGATTTCACATATGGGTGAGATCATATGTGATTATCTTTCTCTGACTGGCACACATTGTACTTTAATGTTCAGTTAACTTGTGTTTCTCTCCCTTGTGCTTTCAATTTCTTGGGGGCATATCTTTGGAATGTTTTATTTGTCCAGAACCTGTCTCAAGACAGGACATATGGTAATAAATCAATACATATTTGTTGAATCAGTTAATAAAGAATACTTTTTTTCCAATTTCTAGAACATTATCAAAATGCAATTGCAAGACTGACATGTGTTGTGTACAAAGCATAACTTAGAGGGGCAAAAAAAATAGGTGTAGTATGAAATTTTGAGGTGTGTAAATTGATTGCACACTAAATCACCAAAGCTAATGCTATTGGAATACCAAGTCTAAAATCCATTTGTTTCTAGGAATCTTATGAAATTAGATTTGTCTTTCTATGTCACATTTTATATTTATTAAAGCACTGATTTTTTATCACATAAAATTTTAAACAAATAGGATTATGTATAAAACAAACCTGTACTGAATTATTATTGCTAAATGTGTCTCTGTGTACCTATTTTCCACTAAAAATTGTTCAATATCATAGGGACCAAATTAACTTGTCTCACCTAAATTCTAATCAGACCAGACAGAACATTGTTCTTACTTTCTCTTACAACATGATTGAGATAGTTCTGATGTTTTACTACACCTGTAATTTTTAAGTAGCTCACATTGCACCAAGATCAATTAGAATGTTTTGACTATAAGTTTCAATCTCACAAAGCAAAATAGTTTCCTGCTGAGCAATCAATTGGGCATAAAGTCAGATTTAAGTTTCTGTACTTGCTGGTTTCTTAGGGTAAATTTTAATGTAATTTATAATTTAGTTGTCTAGTCTGTAGTCACATCATTGCTGTGGTTCTAGAATTTCCTACATCCATATTTTAATTGAGGTAGAATTTCAAAAATATATGCTGAACTCAGATCTTAAGCCCCAAATCTCTTTGCTCATAACATGCTATATTCTAGTCATTTGACAAACACCAACAACTTCAGAGTTTCAGGGAACTTTCAAGTCCTATATCTGCATAAGATGTTGAGTCTTGGAGTTCTTTCTGATTTGAAATCTCAGTAGTCTTCAAAATAGAATTTGAACAAAATATTTTCTTTAAAAAAAGATATAATGGATTTGACATAGGCCCTGATTTATTTATTTATTTTCCCCCTAATTTATGCATTTATTGATTGATTCATGTATGTGCCCTGCCCTGGGATAGAACCCTTGACATATCAGTATGATGCTCTTAACCAAATGAACCACCCAGCCAGGGCCATGTCTATGATTTTTTGAAGTATAACTTTTACCAATTTTTCTATTGGAATATCTGCCTTTTATTTATTTATTTGTAATAGCTCTATTTTTTAAAAAAAGTTATCTTTAGCCCTAGCTGGTTTAGCTCAGTGGATAGGGCGTCGGTCTGCAGACTCAAGGGTCTTAGGTTCGATTCCTGTCAAGGGCATATGCCCAGGTTGCAGGCTCGATCCCCAGTAGGGGGTGTGCAGAAGGCAATCAATGATTCCCTCTCATCATTGATGTTTCTATCTCTCTCTTCCTCTCCCTTCCTCTCTGAAATCAATAAAAATATAATTTAAAAAATGATCTTTATTGTTGAAAGTATTACAGATGTCCCCCCTTTTTACCCAATGATCCCCTCCACCCTGCACCCCCTCTCCCAGGCCTTCAACCATATTAACAACTATCAAAGCAAATTAGGGTATAATTTCTATAATATTTCAGTCAGCCTCCTTTTAATACTCTGAGGTAGTTTTTTAAAGTAATATCATAATACTTTAGCTACAGAGGTTGAACTATTAAAGGCAACATAGGTAAACATTTTTACTACAGTTAGACTTCACAGAAACTTACTTTTACAATTTCTTATAAACACTTTTTTCATTTAAAACTATTTTTCTTGATTATATATTTGAAGTGCATAAATAATTTGCACTTTAAATATCTATGCACTGGATCACAATTAGAAAGGGATAAACACACAAATGATTGCACCTACCTGCCACTCTAGCCAAATCATTGATTTCATTAGTCACATTTCTCTGGAAGCCTTAAGTAGAATAATGAAATTCCAAAAAGAAATACAAGATTTTACTTATATATAGTAGTAAAATCTGAATCGTCCCTGAGATATTTTTGTAGATGCTCAAGAGGGTGGAAAATCTTATCTAGTTGATAGGTGATGATAACATTTTATGATATTTCTGAACTTATTCCCACAACAGGAAAGGACTCTCACTACATTATATAAATTCACTGACTGCATTTGTGAATTGCAAATGAATTATAGAAAATATGATTTGAAAAACCATGCCTATCTTGTAGAAAATTATCTCTGTTGAAAATAGAAGAGTTTTTATTTAGCTTTAGAAAATATACTGCTGCCCTTCATTAAATATTTACATATTACTTACATTCTGAGAATATATTTGTAGGAGATGTAAAGCGCAATGAAATAATCCTGCTGAATAAAAGTAGTCTGCTATTGACCATTTTTTCAAAAAGTTTCACTCTCAATTTTTGGTTAAAAGAAAATTTATTCATTTAAATCATGTACTACATAGTTACTGAGGTTAGCAGGATATCAAATGCTCGCCTCACATTTTAACCTGTCTTGATTTTCCTGCCTCATTCCTAAAAACATTTATCATATGCCTTATATGCCCACATTATATGCTCTATATCCATGTTATTTTTGCAAAATACAATTACTAATGACTTTTCTGCTCCTAGTTACAATCCCTGCGAAGGCCCAGAAGTTTCTGTTGTGTACACATGTGCAAAGACTTGCCTCTATATTCTTATAATAGATTACCTTATGTAATCAAGACGTTTTGAACAGTTTGTAAAAACAAACAGAAATAGATTTGACTCAAGTACATAATTAATTGATAGAGCCTAAGCTGGCCTTTTTAGACAGAAGATTAAATAAGTGTCATTCTTATCTTTAAAGTACTCCTAGTAGAGCCAGTAACAAGAAAAGAAACAAGCACCCATGAATGACTATTAAATAAATAATAGTTGCACACCTCCAAACACAATGTGATTTTTATATTGTGCTTATGACACATTCCAGTTACAATAAAAAATATGATGTGCTCGTTTTATGGCAGAAGCATTACTACTAAAGGTGGTAATAGTTCTTGTGCAGCAAGTATGATGTGAGCACTGACCTTTAACCTAAGCAGAAAGAAGTAATGCTTATAGATAGCTCCAGGAGAAAAGTTACAGCTAAGCATTTGATTACCCTAGATCAGCAATACCCAATATTTTTCATCTTGTGGCCTGCAGAAACTAATTATTAAAATTCTCCAGCACACCAAAAATATATTTTTTATTATTTGCCAATCTGATCCCCTCCCCCAAAGTAGGTATAATTTTGATTCATTCACAGAAGACGGCTAGGTATTGTTGTGTTGGCTATTGTCATTTTTTTGTTTGACAATATAAGGGAAAGAGACCAGTGTCCCTGACTAAATAAATAGTCAGGCATTGCATGTTTTTTGTTTTGTTTTGTTTTGTTTTGTTTTGTTTTGTTTTGTTTTGTTTATCCTTACCCAAGGATATTTTTCATTGATTTTTACAGAGAGTGAAAGGAAGAGGGCGAAATAGAGAGAAAAACTATGTGAGAGACACATTGATTAGTTGCCTCCCACAGGGGCCCTGATCCAGCCTGCAACCAAGGTATGTGCCCTTCACTGGAATCGAACCCCTGACCCTTCAGTTCGCAGGTCGACGCTCTATCCACTGAGCCAAATTGGCTAGGGCCAGGCATTGCATGTTTTAAAAATTCTTATGGCAACACCAGTGAGCCTGCAGCAGCACACCATTTGAAAACCGTTGCCCTAGATTATACTAGTATTGCCAGTAACAATACATGGACAAGATTATTCAGGAAAGAAAAACTGTTAGCAAAGAATGAGAGAGGATTTTTGAGAAAAAGAAAAAGAGAGAGAGAGAGAGAGAGAGAGAGAGAGAGAGAGAGAGAGAGAGAGAGAGAGAGAGAGAGAGAGAGAGCCCAAGGCTACAAAGTTTCACCCTTTCCCTTTTCTCTATTACTATTTAAGTTAACTTTTTATATTATTCCCCCAGTATGCTTATATGCCTGCATTTGAAGTCAGATACTCCCACATCCCCCAATGGTGTATAGGTGTTCTCTCACCCATTCTTAAGAAGCCATCATCCATAGAGAAAAAAAAAATAAGCTCTTACCTTCTCTACACACACAATAATGATTTCCATCCACCAAAGTCAAGCATGTTGAGTTGTTCCTGCAGGGGTCAGTGAGTGGATCACAGGGGTTATAGTGTTGATGGCAAAATTTTCCAATATAAAAGGGTGGGCACAGGAATACAAATTGCTCAGGGATGGTAGACTCCTGACAAAGAACTCCATTCAGGCACAGGTCAGAGTCACATTCATTTATTTCTTCACTACAGTTTTGTCCAGTGCATCCGAATGTACATTCACAGCTGAAATAAAATTTTGAGATATCTGAACAATGCGGTTCAAATGTGTTCTTTGCATTTTCAATGTAATTACTACATTGGACTATGTGGCATTTTTATTTATGACAAGATCAATAAATGACGCATACTTTAAAAATAGTTTGCCTGGTTGTCTGAGACAATTTAATGTTTATTACTACAAAACTGACTACATTGGCTGAAATACAATTTAAGAAGCATTTGGTGAATTTCTAATATAGTTAGGCACTGAGACATACCAGAGAACAAATGTGCTACCAATTTCAATTTTAGCAATTATTGAGATGAATTACCAATTGAGAAAATTTTCTCAATTATTTATTTTATGTAAAATAAATTTTACCATTGGAATCACTGTTTATAAGCCTTAGGTGATATTTAATTCAAAATATTTAGCAACATGTGATTTGTATAATGACCAGAATATTTATAATAAGATGCACCTTTATGTTAAGCATCTTTGTTTCAATTTTTGTATGCTTTAAAAACATATTTCCTATTGATATATGAGTAATGTGGAAAATTTTAAGAGAAAGCAAACAAATAAAAATTAAGGCATTTGGATCTTGTCTGTACATCACAAACTATAGCTCATTTTAAGCCTCAGCCATCCAATATCTGTCATTCTCTTGGAAATATTTGACTTAAAATCGCATTTTTAGTCAAACATCTTCCAGCAAACTAGGCTACTAGTAAGTTCTGCTACAACTAGTAAGAGCAGGGGGATTCTGACAGATAACACAGGAAAAAGTGTTTTCCACATAAGTATTATGCAAATAATGAAAATGGACAGGAAATAATGAAATGTCCCAATAGGGGGTAAATGTGAAGATTGTTCATTGATTGGTTGAGAGGAAGTCAACCAAAAACTGGGCAGGTTCAGAGACAGAACCCCTGTCAGTCTGCGGGCAAGGCAGAGCTCCGAGTCTTGAGTAAATGTACTGTTTAACAAATAAAAGAAGCATGAGACAAGGCATAGAGGATATTAGAAGTATAATTTTCAGAAAAGAATTCCTTTAGTGACAGATTCATTGAGGTTACATGAAAAGAACATTACATTACTGAAACATCTAACTTGCTTCTTGATATTTTGCTGAAAAGAAAAAAAAAGGAAAGGATAAAAAGAAGGAAAGGAGAAGGGAAGGAAGCAGAGAGGATGAAAAGGGAGAAAGAATTAAAAAGAAAAGAAATACTAAGTCAATAACTTAATTTTCAGTGTCAAAGCCCCAGGAATATCTTGCCCATTCTGTTTTAATAAATACAGAGAACACCAATATAGTGAGAGGAGACAGTTGAATGACTAGCGTACTCTGGTGCTTAAAATTAATAATTAAGATACCTAGAAATAAACTTGACTAAGGAGGTAAAAGACCTCTACACAGAAAACTATAGGACACTGAGAAAGGAGCTAGAGGAAGACATAAACAGATGGAAGAACATACCGTGTTCATGGATTGGTAGAATCAACATCATCAAGATGCCCAAACTACCCAAAGCAATCTATAGATTCAATGCACTCCCCATTAATATACCAATGGCATATTTCACAGACCTAGAACGAACGTTCCAAAAATTCATCTGGAATAAAAAAAGACCCTGATTAGCTACAGCAATCCTGAGAAAGAAGAACAAAGTAGGTGGGATCTCAATACCAGATATCAAGCTGTATTACAAAGCCACTGTTCTCAAAACAGCCTGGTACTGGCACAAGAACAGACATACAGATCAATGGAACAGAATAAAGAACCCAGAAATTGACCCAAACCACTATGCTCAATTAATATTTGACAAAGGAGGCAAGAACATACAATGGAGTCAAGACAGTCTCTTCAATAAATGGTGCTGGGAAAATTGGACAGATACATGCAAGAAAATGAAACTAGACCGCCAACTTACACCATACACAAAAATAAACTCAAAAAGGATAAAGGACTTAAACATAAGTTGGGAAACCATAAAAATATTAGAGGAATCCAGAGGCAGCAAAATATCAGACATATGCCGAGCCAATATCTTCACCGATACAGCTCCTAGGGCAATGGCAACTAAAGAGAAATTAAACAAATGGGACTATATCAAAATAAAAAGCTTTTGCACAGCAAAAGAAACCATCAACAAAACAACAAGAAAGCCCACTGCATGGGAGAACATATTTGCCAATGTTACCACCAATAAGGGTTTAATCTCCAACATTTACAGGGAACTCATACAACTTAAAAAAAGGAAGATAAACAACTCAATAAAAAAATGGGCAATAGACCTAAATAGATACTTTTCGAAAGAAGACATAAGGAAGGCCAAGAGACATATGAAAACATGATCAAAGTCACTAATCATCAGAGAGATACAAGTCAAAACAACAATATGGTACCATCTCAAACCTGTCAGAATGGCTATCATCAAAAAATGACAAGTGCTGGCAAGGATGTGGAGAAAAAGGAACCCTTGTGCACTGCTGGTGGGAATGCAGACTGGTGCAGCCACTGTGGAGAACAGTATGGAGTTTACTCAAAAAGCTAAAAATGGAACTCCCATTTGACCCAGTGATCCCACTTCTAGGAATATATCCCAAGAAACTAGAAACACCAATCAGAAAGGATATATGCACCCCTATGTTCATAGCAGCACAATTTACCATAGCTAAGATTTGGAAACAACCTAAATGCCCATCAGCAGATGAGTGAATTAAAAAAACTGTGGTACATCTACACAATGGAATACTATGCTGCTGTAAAAAAGAAGGAATTCTTACCATTTGCAACAGCATGGATGGAACTGGAGAGCATTTTGCTAAGTGCAATAATCCAGTCAGAGAAAGATAAATATTACATGATCTCACTCATTTATGGAATATAATGAACAAAATAAACTGATAAACAAAAACAGATTCAGAGACAGAGAAGCATCGATCAGACTGTCAAACCTCAGAGAGAAGGTAGGGAGGGTGGGAGTACGGGGGAGAGATCAACCAAAGGACTTATATGCAAGCATATAGGCCTAACGAATGGACACAGACAACAGTGGGGTGAGGGCATGAGTGGGGGGGGGGCAGGGGATAATGTGGGGATAAGGACATATATGTAATAACTTAATCAATAAAGAAATTTTAGAAAAAGAAAAACATGAATACTAAGTAGATATGATACCTGTTGAAATTAATAATATATTAAATTATTATAAATGGTAATTTTAGATATAGTTGACTAATAATGTAGTTACTAATTCCATAACATTGTATCCAATATTTAAAAAAAAAAAAATGTAGATTTTACAGCTAATTTTTATTTTTTTATTTTTTTTTTGCTAATTTTTTTTTTTTTTTAATTTGGTAGTGTGCAGAAAGTGATTGCTATGAGGCAAAATGAATATTTCTTTATACGGTATCTTTGCCAAAGGCAAGCTTTACAAATAAAATAATTCATACCTTAGAAATATAAAAATTATTCTAGGAAAGTTATTTCTTTTAAGAATGAATAAAAATCCTTGATATTTTTATCTTCCTTTCTAAAATATAATGACTTTTTTGGTGGCTATTTGCTTTAATTTGCCTAGATTGTCCTGGTTTAGGCCTGTTACCCCAGAATAATTATTTAGAGGCTACCCTTTAACTTAAAATTTTTTTCTATGGTGTTACTCTCTTCATCTTTGATTATCTCCTATATCTCTTAATAGAACTGATTATTTTACAAAAAAGATGGTACTATTACTTATTCACTAATCCTGCACATTGTTTCACCTTGCTTTGAAATTTGATTGCCACACCCATTAGGAAATCATCATATGTACTATCTTGTATTATAAATATTTAACGGTTTTTGCCTACTATTAAGTTTTTATTTCTTGATGTGTAAAAATTTTCTGAATATTTTTATTCTCATGCACATAGTATGTTGAAAATATAGATATTGATTAATATATGATCTTCAGTTGGAATCATATAGACTTACCTGAATTTCTTTTGAATGAGAAAGAAACATCGATTCAGCTGCCTCTTGCATGCCCCCTACTGGGGATGTGCCTGCAACCCAGGTACATGCCCTTGACTGGAATCGAACCTGGGACCCTTGAGTCCACAGGCCGACGCTCTATCCACTGAGCCAAACCAGCCAGGGCAGAAGTTCATATTCTTACTATACAGAAGGGATAGCTGGAAGTGCCCAAAACTAAAAGTAAAGAATCCATTTGTCCTGTGGTTAGCAAACTTGAGAACTGAAACCCAGATATCTTTGTCCCTTCCTTTTTTTTTCTATTTTGCAGAAATTCATTGAAAGATTATTCAACATTTTGTGAAATAATGTTATAGTTAGAAATAGCAAAATCCCAATAAAATAGCTTCAGTGCATTTATTTTATTTGAAGTCACTTTATTTCTAAGGGGTATTGCACAAATATTTACATTTTTCTTTTTCTTATATTCTTTCATGAGTACATGATTTCAATTGGACTACTTTAAGAGAATTGTTAATAACCCACAATTCTTGACTATTTGGCATATGTGCTGAAGGTTTGTTTTATCTTCTCACATAACAGGTGGCCCAAGATTTCATGTGGTGTCCTTACAAGTATCAAATCCTCCGGAAAGCATGTGGCCATATGTCAATAGGACTAATGATGCCAAGATGAGGACTATGGAGATGAGTGGATATTTTGTAGAAAATAAGTTCCAAGGAACAAAATCACTACCAGTAACTAATAATCAGACCAACACATGCCTATATTTGAATTTGCTTTTGTACATGTCAGAGAAACTAGTCTTTGACAGATGGAAAACTACTTTTATGTGAGAGTTTCAATCTGATCTTTAGGTTGTACCGTAAAGTAATTCAGGATTCAGTCTAATCTGCCAGGATTTTCCAAACTCACAGCTAGAAGCAGTCTTTATGAATTAAAATAAACAAGCATAGACACAACTGTATAACTTTTCAAGTGTACAATTTCCAGTAGTAAATACCCGAAAACTAACTGTGTGATTAAAGATAGACTAAT